CTGTGGGCACGTGGGCCGCCCTGCCGCCTGCGGGTCCCGGGCCGGCCTTGGTGCCGCTTTCCCCAGGCCCCCGCCGGGCTCCCAGCGCCTCGGGGAGCGGCGTTGTCTGGGCATCGCTCTGCCAAGGGGGCTGTGGGGTGTGGCCGACGACAGGGGTCCGCGAGCAAGGGCCGGGAGCGCAGCAGGAAGGTTTCCTTGTAACGAGACCCCCAGCCCTTCCGGCAGCCTGGAGTGCGCCCTGTCCCGGCTCTGCCCGCTGCGCCAGGGGAACCAGCTGGGTAGGTGCCTGGCGCCTTAGAAAGCCGGACTCCGAGCGCTCTGCCAAGGGGGCTGTGGGGTGTGGCCGACGACAGGGGTCCGCGAGCAAGGGCCGGGAGCGCAGCAGGAAGGTTTCCTTGTAACGAGACCCCCAGCCCTTCCGGCAGCCTGGAGTGCGCCCTGTCCCGGCTCTGCCCGCTGCGCCAGGGGAACCAGCTGGGTAGGTGCCTGGCGCCTTAGAAAGCCGGACTCCGAGCAGCCAGCCCTAGCCACCGGGGTTACCGCTGAGAGCTCAGCCCCGGGTGCGGCCTGGCCTCGGGCCAGAGCTCCCCCCAGACCACGCGGCTCCCAACCCGACTGGCGCAGGATTTCCAGCTCGCTCGCTTCCCTTAAAGGTCACTTCGTCCGGCGCCCCTCCGCCCTGCCCCGCGCGCAGCCGGACTCCTTTAACTCTCCTCTCTGCTGGGCGCGCTCAGAGGAGGGGGGCTGTCATCTCCCCCGGCCCGGGGACGCTGCTGCCCTGGTGCTAACTAGCCCCCGCGGCTGGGGCGGGCTGTGGAGCGCTCTGGCGCAGGCGGAGCAGCTGGGTTCGGATTCCGCAGACTCCCCCCAGGCTGAGTCTCTGGCGAGCAGCGCCCGGAAGGTTCCCCCCCCCCCCCCCCACATTCCCCCTCCGAAAGCTCCCCCCCGCTCCACGTCCCAAAGGCAGAGTCCAGCCTGCAGCACAAAGCGGGGCTCCGGGGGCGGTTCAGTCTGCCCTGGTTTGGCTCAGAGCGGGGGAGGAGCAGTGTCCGGGCAGGTACGGCTGTGAGTTTGCGGTGTGCAGGGCACGGCAGAGCGAGGGAGACTGAGCAGCTGCCTGACAAAAGTCCCGTTGGCCTTTCACTTCGGAGGATTTCCTTCCCAGTTCCCAGAGAAGAAAGCCGGCTGGGAGGGACGGTCCAGGGGACTTGTCTCGCAGCTCCTTGGCCCTGGGGTTAGGTGGAGCTACACTGGGATCTAATTTCTCAGCATGCTTTCAGGCAAACATTCTGGGGTTCACTGTACCTCCATTACCCCTTCTGAGAACTGGTTTCCTGATTCCCAGCTCTAGCTGCACACTCTGTTCCTGGGCCTTTCCTCTCCAAAGCAGCCCTTTGCAAAAAGGAGCCAGTTAACCCCTCCGCCCCTGTCCTGGAAACAGTGACGCACCTGCCTCGGGTCTCCTGGATTTCACTAGAGCAACGCACAGGCTGGAAGTTAGGTAGGTGGGTAAGTGTGGGCAGAATCTGGGCCTTCTGCCGACAAGCATGGGTGTAAGCAGTGCTGCAGCAGAAATAGCCAGGTACCCTGGCAGACTGATGCCTGTGTGATAGGGGAATTCCTTCCTGTCCTTGCTGCTAAGAAGGGCATGGCCTGATGCATGAGTGTTAGTTGACCCTTTTGTCTCCCATATGTTCATCTCTAGGCCAGGTGTCTCTGGGCACAGACAGTTCAGGATTTCTCTCCTGCCCTGCTTGGATAAACTGGTTGCTGATTTGGAAATGCAATTAAATCCATGGCCTTGGGAAAAGTTCAGAAAAGGGGCAACTAAAGTGATTGGGGTATGGAATGGCTGCCATAGGAGGAGAGATGGATGAGATTGGGATTTTTTGACTTGGAAAAGAGACAACTAAGGAGTGGTATGCTAGAGTTCTAAAAATGATTGGTGTGGAGAAAGTGAACAAAAAAGTGTTATTTACTAGGGGTTACCAAATTAATTTAATAGGCAGCAGTTTAAAACAAACAAAAGGAAGTATTTCTTCACACAACACAGTCAACCTGTGGAACTCCTTGCCAGAGGATGTTGTGAAGGTCAAGACTATAACAGGATTAAAAAAAAAAGACAGAACTAGATAAATTCATGGAGGTTAGGTCCATCAATGCTTATTAGCCAGAATGGATAGGTATGGTGTCCCTAGCCTCTGTTTGTCATCGGCTGAAAATGGATGACCAGAGAGAAATCACGTGATGATTCCCTGTTCTTTTCACTCCCTCTGTGGCACCTGGCATTGGCCATTGTCAAAAGACACTGGGCTAGATGGACCTTTGGTCTGACCCAGCCTGGCTGATCTTATGTTCCTGTGTTTGCGGAGGCAGCATAACCTAGGGGCAAGATCACTTCATTGGGACTCTGGAGACATGGTCCATCCCTGTGGCCCTGCCCCTGTTGTGCCGTGTGACTTAATTCCTGCCCTGTGTCTGATGTCTGAGCTCACCAGGGCAGCACCCTCCCTGTCTGTGCAGCCCCCAGCAGAACGGAGCTGCAGTAATGCAGATAATTGCTTGGACTGTGAGACAGGCAGCGAACAGACCTGCACTGTTAATTTACTTCTATTGCTTTAAGCTGCAAGCCCCTTGCTGGGGTACTGAGGCAGCATGTACAGTGGGATGCTGAGAGACACTGAACTGAACTATAAACCCTGTGTACCTGTTGGTGCTGGAATGAGCGGAGCGGGGGGGGGAGGCTTCCGCACCCTCTGACTCGACGTGGTTTCCATAATGTTTCGGCTTTCCAGTTGGGTTCAACAGCTCTCAGCACCCCTGGAATGAAATTATTCCAGCCCCCTGGCTGTATATGCAGGAAACCACTTCACCCAGGGATGCAGGAGCACCCTGAGTTCTAGCTGAGTCAGTAGCTCCAAGGAGGTCTAACGCCTTTGCTTACTCA